CTTCTTATGGCTGAGTAGTATTTCATTGTGTATATGTACCACATCTTCTTTATCCATTCATCTACCGATGGACATTTAGGTTGCTTCCAATTCTTGGCTATTGTAAATAGTGCTGCGATAAACATAGGGGTGCATCTGTCTTTCTCAAACTTGATTGCTGCGTTCTTAGGGTAAATTCCCCTTTCGCAAGGCACTGGGTTCTTGCAGGTGTGGATGTGGTCTGGATGTTGTCCTGTGTCCTCTGGTCTCTATTTTAGGAAGAGTTTTGTTTGTTATATTTTTATAGCTCTATGTGTTTTTGGGAGGAGATTTCCACTGCTCTACTCACGCCGCCATCTTGGCTCCGCCTCCCTTGTTTATTTTTTTATAAACATGTAATGTAGTAAACAAACAACAGGAAATCTAATGCCGGAATTGGAGAATAATCTCTCAGATGGCCAAATGAAATCCTCAAGAGTACTTCCACTTTGCAGATCACAAAATATAAATATGATTGACATGGGATGTGTGTGTTATTAGGTATGTGTGTGTGTGTTGCACTTTGCACTAAGGCTTTTTTGGGGAAATAATAGCAACTAAAAACAATGCTAAAAACATAGGCAAACGTCCCCAGGGAGAGACCTTTAGCAAATTTGTGACTCAGAGTCTTGTTTAGACTTCTATATTAAGCCATTTGTTGTTTTGAGACTCACCCCCAATGTATTAGACAGTTCAAATAGAGTAGAGAAATGCAATTGTAAATTCCAGAAAGCTTCTGAAATTCATGTATATTATTTTTTGACAGGCTTTAAAGATTTAATGACCATAGATTTAGTGGAAAGAAATGATTTAGAAGTATTTTCAGATTAATTCTAAGAGGATTTTATTTAACTTCCCAGGTTGGTCTGCTGTTCTATGAAATTAACCCAGACTTGACATTTGTTAAACATTGCTTTTCATGTGTGGCATACACAAACACTTAAAATTTTTAAGTTATGTACTTGAATATGCATTTAGGTGTAGACTTTATATGACTAATGATACTGGTTTTCCACTTATAGCAGTGATAGAAAACATTTTTGAATAAATAGATTTAAAAGAGTGTATCTACTTAAATAGAAATGGTCATATATAGTGCTACATTTGGTGGCAGAAGTTGGGAAGTCAATGAATTATTAATTGAAGTTTGGGAAACATTAGCTCAATTGTAAACAATGTAAATTATGACAGCTTGTAGTACTATAATTTTAATTATGTTGCTTATAACCTTACAGATATTGCTTATTTATATGTCAGAATGCTGGCTCTTTAAGAATCTTTGATTAAAGAAATTGAGAGAGTTGTTAGGGTTTTTGGTAACGGGCAATAAAGCAGTCATGTTAATTGGTTGACTTCTAGTAAGTTAAAAATAAGAAGGTACATATCAAACGCTATTTTATTGAAAAGATTTCTAAGACTTCCTGGCAAGAGCAGGCCACTTTTATAAAAGTAATATATGTACCTACTATTCCAGGGATAAATTAGTGTGGTTCTATAAGCTCTGTGCAAAGTCAAAAGTTTGGGAAGATTCTTTCTGTTTCAGTTTATATATGCTAACACCTAGTGAGAAGAGTAGACAGCATATTACTTTTTTCCCCCTTAGAAACAAAAAAGGAAAATAAGACACCTAGAAAATGCTTTGTAATTAATTTTACTCAGAAAATATTTTTTAGAATTATTAGAATATCTGGTAACAATCCTTTGAATATTAAATACAGATTTTATTTTTAGAGAGAGCATACATTAAATATTTAATTAATCTACTTACTGTGTAGTTAAAAAACAAGTTAATACACACCTCTACAAAATGTAAGAAATGTGGAGTTAGTAGAAAATATAACATAGAAGGTACTCCTTCCTCGCTTTAATCCTGCCCCTTCTAGCCCTATTCCTCAGACACAACTTCTGTTAACAGTTTGAAGTCACCTAATTTTAAAAGTCAAGTGTAATGGCAGTTAGGAATTTGGAGGAGTAGGAATCATTTTTCCAGATTTGTGCTTCTGTTGTGTCTGTTTATATTTTCAAGGAGATGTGATGTATGGAATTTGTGGACTTTGGAGTCAGATCTGTGTTGGAATTGTAACTGTGTCACAGAGCAACAATACGAGTTTGGAAAATTTCTTATCTTTCTGAGCTTTAGATTCCTTAACAGCAAAGCTTAATAAGCATTGCTTTCCTTCTGAGCTTTAATCAGACCTAGTCTCTCTCCGTCTCTCTTTCTCTTTTAGTAGGACACATATCTAAAAAGATCTGGCATAAGAATCCATGACATTTTTTCCTTGGCAAAATGGAATTTGGTATTTGACCCCAGCGTGCATGCATTTATTAATGCAGTCATTTGCTAGAACGTTTCATCACTCTCCCAAGTACCCATCATCAGGTTGTAAAAGATCATTGCATTTACCTGCGCCTGAAGTCTTTCTGGAATTTAGATGGCCTTGGGTTTCACTTTGCACTTTATTAATGATTTAGCACTGGGATAAAAATAAAAACAAAGTATCTCATCTTACAGTGTGAGAACATGGGTCATGTGTGCTAAGTCACGCAGGTAAGGTGAGTAGCCAAACCCTGTGGGGAGTCCAGCCTAAGGAAGTATTTCATGTGGGCTGTTGCCTCTCTCCTGTAGAATGACTGCCTCAGAATTAAAGGGAATTAATGTAATTGCTCCTGAGGAGGGAAATGTGTTTTTGTTTTCCCAAGGTGGTGGTACAAGGTTTAATTATCTAATCCAAACACAGGAGCCTTTTACAGCACTTTTCCCTTTTAACAGCTGTAGTCAACTTCCAAATACTGCTGTATCTTTAGGCTTGAGAAATCACTGCATTGTAACCAACTCTGTTTATATTATATAATCTACCCATTAGGGTACAACAAAATCCTGTTTTAATATTGGTTACTAAACATGGTCTTTAGAGCCAGGGTTGGTTTAAATGGATTTTTGTAATTATTTGAGCTGCAACTAGAGATGTGATTCTCCATTTATAGAATCTGTGCCTCATGTCTAGATCATTCTTTTACAGCGGTTTCATTTTTCTGTGTGGTTTTTGTTTCATACTCAGTGTGCTTCGGTTCATGTGCACTTTTTCAGATCTTCATGTTTATTTGTCAAATGAGTATGGAGCTTTCTTATCAAAGTCAGTTATCTTTTATGTATTAATTAGAGTTTTCTTCAATTAGAGAATTCAGAATTGAGGTGTTTTCTAGACTTGAGGTTATTAATAATTAAATACATGTAATATATTGCTAGTGGAGTATCTTAAAGCTCAAAGTAGAGAGGAAGGCCCTACTTTTTAAGAATTGAGACTGCCATTCTTGGTGAAATGCATAGGGTTTTAATGTTGGGGCATATTAAAAGAAATAATGCCATTCAGTCTAGGTAGAGAGGATTTGGGGAATCAAATCTGATTCAAACTATAAAGGAAAAGGATCAATTCCCACAGCTCAGAATTAGGATAATACATTGCACTTAGAATAAAAACCAAACTCTCCCCATGGTTAGTATTGCTCTTCTCTATCCTGCCACTGCTGGGCTTTCCCTCCTCCACTGGTCCGGCCACACCACTGTCCTCCCTGTCTGTCTCGCCAAGCTCTTCCCCTCGCAAGGACCCTGGCCCTTGTTACTCCTACTGCCTGGAAAGCCTTTCCGCCTTTCCCTTAGCTCTTCCCTCTGCCCCCTCTGCACATCTTCCCTGCCTGTCTCCCAGGGATCCATCTCCCTGGCTGCCTTACCTTTCCTTTCTCTTTCCAGGGCCCCTGTGTTATTTTCTTATCAGCACTTATCTCATTTTGTTAATGATTGTCTTTGCCCCACAACAATGCAAATTCTGTGAAGAGAGGTCTCAGTACTTGATACAGTGCCTGGCACTTGTACACTCAATAAGTCGATTAAATTGAAGTTGTTTGCTGGTTTTAAGAACTCCTTTTTGTTTATTTCTTTGTTTAAGATTAGTTTGTCATGTTGAACCAGAGGGATCTAAGTACCCTTGATATCAAGAGCCAAGCCAGTGTTTTCCAACACTCTTACCTGTGTGCATTGTCACCCATTCCATTGTGATTCTATTCAGTGTTTAGAGACCAATACTGGCTCTCGTCAGAGCAGACAGAGAACTCAGTAGGCCTCCCATGGGTATTATGCTCACCCTGAGGTGTTTTTCAAAATTTACCAGACACTGGACTACCTCATGGCAGATCTTCTATGAAGGAGAGAGAGGCCTATCTTGGTCTTTGGTGAGCAGACAGTACAATAATGGAAGAACTATTGTTCTGCTCCCAAAAGAGAAAACTCTGCCACTGTGTCTGTTCAGTGTGCTCTGTAAACAGCCCCAATGGCCTCTGAAGGATCTGCCCTCTGTATTTAAGCTCTTACTCATCCTTAAGCCAAAGGCTACTGATCAGCTTCAAGCTGAACAGAAAATTTTGGCAGCTCAGTTGCTGTCTGAAGGTCAGTGTGTCACCATGACAGTTGTCACTCAGAGTGGAGGAAGTGAAATGCAGATTTGGTGAGTAATTAAATTAGGTTTGTGTCATTTCTTGGTGGTGTTCTAAATGTTGCTATTTATCTGTCTTAGGTAATCTATTTAAAGAAGACACCAGAAGAAGCCTACAGAGCACTCCTCTCTGGGTCAAACCCCCCCTATCTTCCATTCAGGTATAACTCTTGTAAGATGCGGGTATAGCCCTTGGCTAGCCAACTGCTGCTTTAGAATTGGGTTGTTGTGTTTTTTTAATTGTCTTAAAACTGTGACCCTGTGTTATAGGGAATAAAATGAAATAGTAGTTTTTATTACTTCACGTTTGCAGAGTTCTTTTCCCCTGTCTAGTAACAATAAAATAACTTTCTCCTTTTAGGAATTAATTTTTTCCTTGAATCCCTTCTATATCTCGACAGTTTAAGCATAAAGAGTATCTGATTTATGAGCTAATAACCATGTCAAGATTTGTTAGATTTTAGTAGTCTACATCATTGATTTCTCCATTTATTCTTTCAGAGCACTGAGTGGCTCTGACTCAAACTCATGGACAGGGGGATGTAGAATAGAAAGGACGCTTTAGAGTTCCTTCCCAGGAGTACATGCAGTGAGGACCCCAAATCACCTTTTAGCACACAAATCTAGCTTGTATCTTGAGGAAGGCTGTCTTTTATTACAGTGTTGGAAAATAATATTTTGTAAGTATCAGCTGAAAAAGTATAACATTTATAAAATTATAGTGCCAGTCAGTAGGCCCAATGGACAATGTAGCTATTAAAAAGTTTAAGTAGAAAATGTATATAATTTTTATTATCCAATTAGAATTCAAGGAAGACGTATTTCTATTTCACTAGCTAGATGACCCTTGCTATCCTTGATTGTCAATTTAGATGAAGATATTAAAGGAGGAGGAGAAAATCATAAATTTTTCCTTTAAGCATAATTATATCTTTAGCTTGTATGTTCTATGTAATTAGTTTCCTGAGAACTAGAATTTTTCAGTAACTTTTTGAATAAGAACTTCAGAATGGACGAAAAGATAGTAAAATTATTGCTACTTAACATAGAATTAAATCATAATTACAGTTGTAGCCTGTTTTTCCGATTTGTTTTCATTTCAGTATTTGAAAATAAAAATACACTAACATGGTTCAAAATTTGAAAAATATATAAGAAGGTTTACAGTGAAAACTCTCTCCCACCCTTGATCTTCATCTCTCTAGCCCTTTCTGGAATAACTTCTGGTATTTGTTTATTCCATATCCTTCTAGAGTTTCTTTATGTACATATAAGTGCACAAAACTTGATTCCTTTTGCTTAATTCATCTTGGATATCATAGACAGCTCTCTTATTCTTAATTCTGTATAATGTACAAGAATGCATTTAACAAGTCTCTGACAGGTAGATATTTAGGTCGTTTCCTATCATTTTAATTGTAGCTTTTTGATTCACACGGTCCCAAAATTATCTTAGAAGAAAGACACAGAAAATACTATGGAGAAAATTATAGTACTCTTGCTAGACAAAGAGATTTTAGTCATCTGTTTGCATAAAGGTACTTGTTATATGACAAAGAATGCTCAATGCAAATACAATGCCAAAACAAATGCAAAATTTGTTCCTTGGATCAAGCACCTATTCCTAATGTTTGACTTTGAGTATAACTCTAGGTTGTATTTTTCTGAGAGTTGTGTTTATATTAAACTGCATTTCTAAATCCAGTTCTTCATAAACTGTATATTTCAAGCAGGAAATACCACTGTGTAGTGCTTGTATAATTTAGTGAAGAATTAGTTGAAAGAATACTACTAGTTTTTTGGAATCTGACTAAAGAAACTTGATAAGATGTGAGCTGATTTTAGTCAACAGCCCAGGCCAACTAAGGCTAATGCAAATAGTATCAGGATTCCTCTTCTGACTAGTTCTGGTCAGCCATCACTGCCTTGTCCTTCATTTGGAATTTGGGTTCTTCTGCCCAGTAGATGTTTTACACGATTTGTTGTTAAATTACACTTTTATCTTCATTAACTAGATTTAAAAAAAATCTGCTGTCACGTTACCCCTTTTATATAAAAAACAGGAAGCCTTAAAGGAACTTGCATTTAAGTGTAATTGTTTTATTGTTTAAATTTTTTAAAAAATGAAGACCATTTTGAAAGCTTGTCAAAGTATGGTTGGTATCTTTCTATGCCCTCTTTACCGAAATGCCTGTGTTCTAATTTGTGCTATATTTTTGGGGTCTTTCTAATAAATGAGTTTTAAGGCTGTTGTGAATTTAAATGCTGATGCTATTCTTCAAGATTTATTCACTTAAGAAACATCTGAGCAGTTTCTTCTATAAAACCAGGTACCTGCTGCAGGGATCTCAGTGTATAATTTGTAAATAGGTAGGTATGAAAACAATTACAGTGCTTTATTGGAGTTCGAGTCTGAGAGGTGTTATGGGAAATTGAGGCAGGAAGTTTAACCTGGGAACTGGGTATTGGAGACGTTAGGGTAGGCCCCATGAATGCTTTTCATGTTAGGATGAAAACTGGATGAAAACCAGGTGCTGATTTTAGGTGCTGTACTTTTCCGTTTGTATGGTATAGGTTGTCTTATAATTAAGTTATAATTAAGTTAGGTAGGATACTATATAATACTCTGCAGTATAGTACATTATTATAACTGAAAGGACTATCTGATGGAGTTTTTCTATTTGGATTTATCTTAACTTTTTTTAAATGACGGTTTTCTATTAACTGAGTTAAAATTTCTCTAAAGATGAGGCAAATTAACAAAGAAAAAGATTTGGTTAGCTCTACTTTTTTTTTTCCTTCCAGTTTTATTGAGGTGTAATTGGCATACAAAACCGTGTAAGTTTAAATAGGACAGAATAATGACTTGACACACATACACTGTGAAACAGTTACCATCTTCCTATAGTTACAAGTTTTTTTCCCCTTATGATGAGATAGTTTAGGATCTACTCTCTTAGCAAATTTCACATATACTTTCTGGCAGTGTGAGCTAACTACATTAGTCATCATGTTGTACATTATTTATCTTATAACTGGAGTTTGTACCTTTTAGCTACCTTTACCCAATTCCCCACTCCCATCCCCATTTACCACCCAATCTTGATACATTGAGTGCAGTAGACTTCAGAGATAGCCAACTTTCTGGCTCCGTGTGACACTCAAGGAAGGTTTGTTGTGATGTTACTGTTCATAATTCAGTATCAGGACCTTCAAGTAAATTATAAAATAGTTGTGCTAAACCTGTATTTTTCACTTGTACTAAGGAATAGCCAGTGTGTTTATCAAGAGTAACTTCAGCTGAAAACTAGAAGAAAAGGGTATTTTCACCTACTTTAATTCTTTGAGTCCATCTATCTTTAGTGTTAGCTTGGCAGTTGGCCTTTGAGGGATCAAGGGGGCCTTTCTCTCTGGGGTAAGTCAGCGGAGTTTGCATTGGCAAGCCTGTTATGAATCTTTTTAGATTCTCTACCTTTCAGTGTACTAACAAATTTATAGTCTATACCATTGACCAATCATTCTACAGCCATTAATTGTAGCTTGTTAAGGTCCTGTGAGACCATTGAATCTTAGTGGATCTCCCAGATTGTTTTCTTGACTATCAGTGGCAGTGTTTTTAAATCTACATTCTTGAGTATTCATAAAACAGTTTTTATGAAACTGTTTTACAAAACACTGAAAAGGTAACCAATATATATGGCATAGTTCTTCTTTTAGATCTCCTTTGTGATTTTAAATTTTACACTTTTTCATTTATTGATCCATGCATGACACTTGATAAGCCTTTTGAGATGATATTTCATAAATCTGTGACATACAAAATTAGATAGGGGCTAAAACTATACAGACAATGAATAACATGCAGGGTCCCAGTTTTGAAGACAAGTACAGAAAGCGTGACATGAAAAATAGTGACATTGTGCAGAAGTGAGGCTGGGGTAGGGTCCTGTGCTGAGACCCAATAGAATAAAGTTGGTTGAATGTTGGATGTTCTATCTCTGTTGTTAATTGTTTGTTTGTTTTTGCTGGGGGTTTTCATCTTGGATAGGTACAGGAATGCAATTTTTGTGGTTGTTTTATTTTAGCTTGGAGAAGAGGCTAGAAGTTATAGGTCACTATTTCCCAGAGTTATGTTGGTTTTCATATTTGGTTTTAAAAAGTCTGGGAAGCTTTAAAAAATACTGATGCCTGGGTTTGCTCCTAGAAATTTTGATATAATTGGTTCAAGGTTAAGTCTGGGTATTGGGATTATTTTAATTTTAATTTTTACTATAAGAATAGTTGACATACAATATTACATTACTTTCAGGTGTACAGCATAGTTATTCAACACTTATATACATTATGAAATGCCTCACCCCTGTAAGTGTTGTTACCATCTGATACCATACAAAGTTATTACAATGTTATTGACTATATTCCCTACCTTTTACTTCTTATCCCCTGCCTTATTTATTTTATAACTGGAAGCTTGTACCTCTTAATCCCTTTAACTTATTTTGCTCCCCCCACCTCATTCCCTCTGGCACCTACCAGTTCTCTGTATTTATGAGTTTGTTTCTGTTTTTATTGATTTTACTTGTTTATTCATTTGTTTTGGTTTTTAGATAACACATGTAAGTGGAGTCATATGGTATTTGTCTTTCTCTGTTTAACTCATTTCACTTAGCATAATACCCTCTGAGTTCACCCATGTTGTCACAAATGGCAAGATTTCATTTTTATGGCTAATATTTCATTGTGTTTACATACCATGTTTTCTTTATCCATTCATCTGTTGGTGGATGCTTAGGTTGTTTCCAAATCTTGGCTATTGTAAATAACATTGCAGTGAACATGGTAATGCACATATCTTTTCTAATTAGTGTTTTTGTTTTCTTTGGGTACGTACCCAGAAGTGGAATTACTGGATTGTATGGTATTTCTCTTTTAGTTTTTTTAAGGGAACTTCCCTACTGTTTTCCTTAGTGGCCACCACACCAGTTTACAGTCTCAGAACAGTACGCGAGGGAGCGTTCCCTTTTCTCCACATCCTTGCCAACACTTGTTATTTCTTGTCTTTTGGATAGTGACCGTCCTAACTGGTGTGAGTTGATGTCTCACTGTGGTTTTGATTTGCATTTCTCTGGTAATTAGTGGTGTGGAGCATCTTTTTATGTGT